TCAACTAGTAAGTAACAAGCTTTCCCAAATATTAGCCTATATGGGGACATTCCTATAAGAGTTCTGTATGCAGTTCTATAAAACAAAGCACAACAAAGCATAGTCAAGTTTGACTGACCAATCCATTTTGGTTGGATTCACAGATTTTTCGATAATTCTTTTAATTCCCGATTGAATAATTCAACCAATCAACTTGTCTGAGGATGATAAGCAGTAGCAATCCTATGATTTATATGATATTTCTTTAATAACTTTTCCATTATGACATTTCTGAAATGACTTCCACCATCAGTAATGATAACTCTCGGCATCCCAAATCTACAAAATATGTTTGTTTTAAAAAATTTTGCAACCCTTTGAGCATCACATAGAGGTAAAGCAACAACATTTAATTAGGAAGAGGTGGTCAATAACATTTAATTATGATTTATTTTGTTTGTGAATCTTCTCTACAGAACAAAGTGAGTCGACAAATAATGTGTGTCATGGTATTTTTAAGCTTACAAGCTCCTTAACCAATTATTTTTTGGGACATGAAAATATAATGAAAACATGGAGATGGATTGAGAATGATGAGGGCTTTAAATGTACTCAATTCTCAATTATTCTCGTTACTAAAAGCAGCTCTCTGCTGAGGCAGACTGCTACTTTCTATACAAAAAAGGACATACTCATTTTTTTATAAGGAATTTTTACATGGTGTCAATAGGTAAGAATAGAGGAATCTAATAGAAGTCCTTCATAATATTACATAATACATTTGGCTAATTGAGGAACAAATAAATCTTAACAAAATAACTTTTGATATAAGTTATAGTTGCAAGAAATTTGAGATGATGTGGCAATTATGTTCCCACCGCATAAGAGTTATCAACAAAGAAAATGCAGCGAGAATATCAAATAAATATTTTCTAATTTGATGGTATCCATATGCTAAGCTTAATTTCTATTTTGAAAATGGTTATCAAAATTTCAAAGATTTGCAGCTGAGGAATGGTTCTGCAAGTGATATTTCAGATCCATGTCCATAAAAGATTCATTCCAAATAAGCATCAAGGCTCAAGGCAATGAAGAGGTTGAAAATATATGCTCGAGTTTCTAAAACAATTGTGTAACGATGTTAACTCAATAGTGAGCGAGAAATCTCTCACATTGAATGATAGCGTGAACAAAAAAAAGACTAAGAAGAAGGAATGCATTGTAAAAACTAAAGGGTCCAATAAAGATGCGAACAAAAAATATTTCTAATGCTATGTCAAAGGGATATTGGGAGAAAAAAAGAGCTAAAAGTAAATATTATATTGTGTTCTATAGCATGAACCTATATCATATGAAACTTTACTTTATTATCAATATCAATTACTATTACATTGACATTGGATTAACTAATCAACTGTTTTATATTACTGGAAAGTAGAATGTACCTGTATCAAATGGAGAACACAATGGATCTCCAATTGCTACCCCTTCTTCTATAATACAAGCTTGTGTCATGGAGGTATGATATTTACACCATTGTTTAAACTCTTTTTCATGGGTCCTTAATTTATATAGTTAGTATTTCTTATAATTTTTTTTCTAATGAGTAATTTAAATTGCAGGAAATCTTTATATCCTCAAGTGCATCACAACCAATTAAAACTTATAACAATTTAATCATGGATTTCATTGACTAAATGGAAGAATATGCTTTGTTGTTGGGAACAAATAAATTTAATCAAGAGTTGTTGTAGGGAGCAAATAAATTTCAGTGTGTTTTGTCGTTAGAAACAAATGATTTTAATGTCCCATTATTTTTAAATTTATTCATGAATTATTTCTACAAAACATTAATGTAGTTTTACAAGAATGCTAATTTAATACTATATAGAATACCTTCTGAATACCACAAGAACACACATGAATATCATTAGAATACTACTAGAATACTACTAGAATATGACTAGAATATCAACAAAATACCAAAAGAATATCACATGAATACCACGTGAATATCACATAAATACTGCCAGAATACCGCCTGAATACCACTATAATACCACAAGAATACCACAAGGATACCACTAGAACACCACCTAAATATGACCTGAATGCCACATGAATACCCCATGAATACCACCTGAATGCCCCTTAAATGCCATAAGAATATCACCAAAATACCACAAGATACCACTAAAATATCACAAGAATACCACATAAATACCATTAAAATACCACATGAATACCATTTGAAAACCAACAAACTTCTTATGATTCTGTGCTTGTATTCTAGTGTTTTTATGGTTTTATTCTTGTGATTTTGTGGTGGTATTCATGTGGCTTTCCGGTGGTATTTAGGTGGTATTCTTGTGGAATTTTGGATGTATTTTGTTGGTATTCTGGTGATATTTTGATAGTATTCTTGTTGTATTATAGTAGAATTTTGGTGGTATACTACAAAATACACAAGTCGTAATGTTTTGGTGGTATATTATGACATACATTAAAAGGTGGAACTCTGAATCTTAAAAGTTATGAATAAGTCATAAAATTGTATATTACAACAATATATCTCATCACCGTACATGTTAATGTTTTGTTTCATCCATCCACATCCTAAAGTTATACAAAAGTCACTCTGCATACATAGAGTACATAGAGTTCGTATAGTCATGATGACAATCAACGATTTCCTAACGACAACACACATATTTCATAAACAAATTTGGTTCTAAAACGTGTCATGCTAAGCTGTCATGTTTTGTAATCATCCTAATTTGTTTTCTTAATGCCCACCAGTTTTTCCATATATTTATAAACAAAGATTTCACAATCAATGTTGTTTATTTTTGTAGGTGGTCCTCTTCGAGTAGCAATTGGCCACTTTATAGGATTAGTATCAAAAGTAGATTAGGCATCTTCAATAATGACTTTGAACTTCAAAATAAAGAAACTTATGTCAAGTAGTTTAAATTTAAAAACTAAAAAATGAAGAACTTTTGGAATAATGTCTTGATGTATCTCCTCACAATTTCATAACATATTTCCTTGTGATTTTTTTTTTGGAGTGAGTCATATAACATCCATTTTCTCATCTTTAGCGCCCCAACTAAAAGAGTACGGTGTTGACCATTGATTATGGGAATGAGTAAAATTTGTGCTTTTTCAATACTTTCTTTGTTATGTGTCTAATAAAATCTCGATCTCAATATTTTGAGTGAAACATGCCTGCCAAATTATGTTGACTTCTATTATTTACATATAAGCAAAGGTATAAATTATTCATGAATAACATAAACTATAAAACAATGTGCACACTTACCCAATGCATCGGTGATATATACAAGTACAATTTGTATACATTTCGAGTTTTATTTCTTTTCTCAGCAAGCAAAAGTGCAAATGCATCAATATGTTTGTTGGTCAACTTCTAATTGTCCAATAATTTATCGATCGAAGATCGAGTTATTGCAAAATGGTCTTTAAAAAACATGGCATCACTTCTATAGTAATGTCATATAAAAAAATGATAGATAAATATATTCTTATTTATAACCAATTAGACTTTATAAGGAAATAATTACTTATCAGTGAACATTTGACAACATTGATCAATGACATTAGCCAAGTGTAAAGATATCTTATCCCTTTTCAGGAAGTCATAACTAGCTATGCATGATGGTGCTTCATATTAAAAAAATAAAAGAACTTTAGAATATAGTGTAATGTTATGGTAAACTTAAAAAATAACATACCTTATCGGGGTAATCATCAACAAAAATTCTACAAATCTTCTCCCTCTTCTCCTCCTCCTACACAAGAACAGGAACCTTATTCCCCACCCCAAGCACCAAAAAAATCAGATCTCTTTGATTCCTCATTTTTTCTTCCTCAAATACCACTTGAATACCACCAAAATTGTTTGTTAGTATTATTGTGGTATCATGGTGATGTGGTATTATTGCCGTATTATGATGATATATTTGATGTAATTTTTTGGTGGTATTCACGTGGTATTCATTTGATATTCTTATGATATTTTGGATGTAATCAAATTGTAATATGATGCCAAAGTATTTTGGTAGTAAGGTGATCTTGTGAGTTGTTTGGAAATAATGTAGCACTAGAATTTTGTTACTAATATGGCTATAATGTGTTAATATCATAATTGTATTATGATGCTAATATGATGACATTATGGTGCTTAATGATGATATATAATGATACTTGCAAATAGTATTTACATTGATTGTTCTCTGAATAAAAAATAAGGACATTTATGTTTTTTCGAACACATTAAATAGATAGAACTCCCAAAATAAAAACTACTTCTCTAAAATTATAAAGTTGGCAATACATATAAATTATAAGGGAATACTTGGAAATGTTACATTCAACAAATGAGCCAAATGAACTTTTACATTGAACAAATGAGTGTGAAGAAAGTATTACATCTAACAAGCTTATACATTGAAAAGATGACAAAAAAGAAGAATTACATTTCTCAGTTACACAAAAGATAGACACTTGAAAATAAATAAAGTTGAATTATTTTTTCTATTTCCTGCTTGGTTTCTTTACTTTCTCTTTGATATTTTTTTCTTTATGTGAATCCATTACAACTAACATAAAACCTAGATAATGTATATTAAACAACATTAGTTCAGAAGCTTTTACAGCTAAAATTAGCTAAAAACATATCGAATATACCACCTTGTTAAGCTTGTTATTAAAAACATATGCGGAGTCCTGAGTGCTGGTGTCGGTGTTGAATGACGGTAAAAGCTCTAATGCGCTTCCAAATTCAGGAGTGAGGAAGCTAAAAGCTCACTGTGCTATGAGAGATCTGGTCGCGAAACCTAAAATGCTCGGGAGAGACTCACTTAAAACATGAAAATCCTAAATCTCAAAATCACAAATGTAAAACTTAGCCCGTGAAAAATAAAATAGAATGGATAACACACTTTTTTCTGAAATATTCCGGCGCAAAAAAAAAACATTTTTAATATTTATTTTAAATGTTAAACACAGACCCACCAATTACGTCCAAAGTACGGATGTAGTATCTTCTCTCTCCGGCCTTTCTCTCTGCCTTCCCTCGCAGCTGAACATCCTACATCGCCGCCTTTCTCACTGCTTCGCCCAGAAAGTCCGGTGCTACCATTGATAGGATGCTCAGGAATTCATAATTAGGGATTACTTTTAGCTCAAAAGGTTCTTTTCAGGATGATCAGAGGCTGCTGATACTCCGCAGGTGGTTTAGATTTAGGGCTACTGTTTGTAATGTCGGTTGCAGAGCTGAAGGAGCGGCATGTTGCGGCTACGGCGATGGTGAATACGCTGCGGGAGCGGCTTAGGCAGAAGAGACAGCTCCTGCTCGACACTGATGGTGGATTTACTTGTCAAATTTTGTTTTTGGTGTTTTTTCAAGAAAATATTTGTGGGTCTCATGCTGTTATGATAGAATTGCAGTGGCGACCTACGCGAGGAGCCATGGGAAGTCAGCGATTACCTTCAGCCCTACGGATCTGGTTTGCTGCAGGACCTTGCAGGGCCACACGGGAAAGGTAGACTGACTCGACTGGTCTCTGGGATATTGATTTCTGGATTTAGGAATCTGTGCAGTTCTGGTACTTAGAATTTATTGCTTGTTGGTTTTAATTTAGTAGCTTCGTGGGTTTAAAGAGGGAGTGCGTGGCTATGAGCTTTCATGGAGTGATGTCTGCGGAGCTATTCTGTATGTACTTATTTTGGGGAGATCCATTTGAACTTGCAGTATATTAGTGCTGAGGGAGAGAATAGTGGGTTTAGAAACTTATATAGATTGTTTATAATTTTTTGATCTGTTTATTAATTTCTGAAAATTTTGGAGTTTGTATTCCCTCGTTGGATTGCTTGTCTCAAAGGCCAATCTTGGAAATCATTGTAATGGAGATTTATTAAATTTACACGAATGAACTTAGATTGACAACTTAGGCGATCATTGACAGCCTTTCAATGTGAAATTGGAGGTTTCCTATATACTGGCAGAGACAATCATTTTTTCGTTTGGTCTTAGCTTTAATTTAGAATAGCTTATAAGATGGACGTTTTAGCAGTTCCAATAAGTTGTTTGAACTAGCTATACTTTGACAACACAACCATTACTTCCTAAGGAGGCAATCTCCTACTAATTATAATTTTTTATAGATTGAAAAGGTCGAAGGATACTCTTTTTTTAGGACATTGAGTGAATTTTACAAAAACTCACGAGCACACACAATATGTAAAACCTTGAACCTATTTGTGGTGGGTACTGAAGCTCTTGATTGCTAGGCTAAGTTGAGTTGGGTTTTTCGAACACTTATTCTTTTTAAGTTTACCAGAGATTATTGAGAAAGTACCATTTTACCAGTTAGTTTGTTGTTATTCAGTAGATAGCAAATGAAGCATGGTAGTTTTTATGTGGAAGTTCAAAGCTGTCATTTGTAATAATATAAAGTAAACAAAAAATAATAAATAAATAAATCAATATAAAACATGTAGATTTTATCACATGCTCTTTCACACTTCCTCTCATTTGAAGCAGACGAGCAAGTGAGGAGAAACTGTCGTACCTGAGAGTGATAGAGATGAAGGAAGAAATCACAAGAATAGGGGGGAATTTCAGTGAAGAGAAGAGGAGAAATTAGAAGAAAGAAGAGGAAGGAACTAATTCGAAGCCAAGCCCCAATTGAAATTGAGGAAGGGAGAAGGTGCAGCTTGGACATCGAAACCTAATAAAGGAAAGCTCTGCATGTTGATGACAAGGAGAAGGAAGATCGTGGAGCTGCCAACAATTCTCTGCTGCCCTCAGTAGATCCATGCGATAGAAACCACGAAAAAGAAGAAGAAGAGGATTTTGGTATTGTGTGTGAATTTCGGGCTGTCGAGCCATGCGAGGGAGAAGAGTAAGGAGATCGAGGAAAGAAGAGAATCGTAAAGTTGTTTTGGGTCGAGCAACGATCGAAAGCAAAGTGGAGGAAGCTCTCATTCGGTGGGAAGAAGGAGCTTCAAGCGTGCGTGAGGTTAAGGGTAGGCAACCAAAGGTTTATAAGGTAATTGAGATTTTAAATAATATAATTTAATTATATTGTTATATGAATGCACATGTATATGTGTGTTAAAATGTGTGTGTGTGCTTAATAATAATATTAATGTGAAGTTTTATTAAAATCAGGACTAACAAATAGTGAATTCAGATTCGAAGTAAAAATTGGAGGATCGAACGAGTAAGGAAGAAGACCAACCTGAAAGTTTATATGATAAATGTTAAGCCTTATGTTATTATTGCAATTAATGATCTAATATACTAAAGCAATTAATGTTATTAAATTTTATTTATATAGAAAGTGTGAAATAAATTTGATAAATTCTTGGAATTTGAGGAAGGCGAAGAAGACAAAGAATCTTAAGATTATAAGAGGTTACTATTTTTAATCGTAAATATCTTACATGTTTAAATAGGTTACCCTTTTTTGAGATTTTTTTTGGGATGTGAATCTTATAATTATATGCACATTTAACTAATATAAGTTGTCAGAAGAAGTGAAATGAAAAGATAAGTATTTCAGAGTTCTCTTGAAAGCTAAGATGAGTGCTTATTTTTTTATGTATTAACGTTTTATTAAATAAATTATTAATTTATTAAATGATTTAAAATAAGTAATTCATTCATGTCTAGAATTTGAAAGTCTAAAATGATATTACAAATGAAAGGAAAATAACAGACATATAAATGTATATTTTAAATGATTTTAAATTGATATGAAATGAATTGTAAATGTTAAGTCATATAAGATTATCCCAGATGGTACTAGTAGGGGATGTGATGTACGCTTCACGTTATAAGAAACGATAAAGGTGTACATTCAGGTGCAATTTTGAGGGTATCTTTGGGTATATTTTTTAGAGTCCTTATGAGTCCATTTTGAAGATATAGTCAGATATATTTTTTCTGATACTCTTAGATATGACAGTAATCCTGTTATGACTATTATAGAGGTTAAAATAGTAAATACAAAGTGAAAAGAGAATGGATAAACTTAAAATGAAAATGAGTTGCATTTCTTTTTGGTCAATCATGCATAGCATAAGCATCATAATTAATGTATATAAAGATTATTACTCACTAAGTCAAATTTACAGTTAAAATTAATGTTTTCTTTCAGGGGAATAAAATCCTTAGGTTGATATGTTTGGTAGGAGAGATTTAAGGGCGTTTGGGGGAACATTTTTGTTGCGGCACGACAGGAAAATGTTGGCGGGTCTGTTTGGTCCGAATGTCGTAGGTACACACTCGTAAAATGCTGTCGTGGGTCAGACTTTGCTCTCTGTGGTTTTAAGTGAAGGAAATTCCTTTGCCACCAATGCTTGTCTCTAAGCTTCGTCATCTTCGTTTGCGTCTCTAAATTGCATTCTTGATTGAAGACAGAGAAACACCATTGTTCCTGCCGAACCCTGCTACTGCTGACTGCACTGTAAGCATCGATGCTCGACGACGATGGAGGCACGTCTCCTCTAGCTGGAATCCCAAGAATTGGCCTCCCAACGACAACAAAAAATTTATTTACGAGCTTCAAGTTTTATTTACAATGGCAGGAAATTTGACGGATTAGGAAAGCATAATTTGGTTCTTTAAGAAATATCAGCAAAAGGAATTTCTATTAGACGAGCAATTTCTTATAATCAACAGATCAATTCCTAAACTAATGTACAGACGTCGGAAGCCTGCACGCTTGTTACACTCTGGACATGATCCACATCTATTGCTTATTTAAATTCAAAATTTTAAAGTAAAAAAAAAAATATCAGAATAAAATATATTTCATAAAATTATTATTTTTAAATTTAAAAGGTTTAAAACTTGCTTTTAGCGTTGGCCTAAAACCTACAATTTGAAATTTTACAAAGCCAGAAAAGTCTTTTAAACATAAATGGCTGCAACACAGCAGCGGTACAACTTCACAAAACAAACAAACACATCTTCTGCGCAACAGCTTCCTAGCACAGATGCCGCACATCGGCTTTTTAAAAAATTGCGGCTACCTCATATAGCCCTTAGTTTATAGGAAGAGAACTGCAACAGATAGATAATTGTTATGGTGTATTGCTTTTTTTTTACTGTTTCCTTCATATATTGATATACTAATCAATATTGCTTTGAGATGTGGTTTTCTGATTATATTGTTGTTCCTGAATGTCTAATTTTATTGCACTTTGTGGATTTTAGTGGTTCTTTTATAAATTTGAAGATTCCATAATTTTGTGAATAGTTCTTTAAAAGTTAATACCATCCGATTGCTGTTCGCGTCTTAGTTAATTCTAAGCCTCGAGCCGGGTTGTGAAAAAAGAATTGTAATAACATAAAGTTAAAATAAAAAAATAAATATAAAGAGTGTCGATGGTTAGAAGAGTCGCCCCCCTCACAAGAATCTTATCGCACGCTCTTTCACACTTCCCCTCATTCGAAGCATATGAGCGAGCGAGCGGGAGAGACAGCGGGAGAGGAGAAACTGTCATACCCGAGAGTGAGAGAGTGGAAGGAAGAAACCATAGGAATAGGGAAGAAATTTCAGTGAAGAGAAGAGGAGAATTGAGAAGAAAGAAGAGGAAAGAGTAGAGAGCGCCCCTTACCTGATTCGAAGCCGAGCCCCAATTGAAGTCGAGGAAGGGATAAGGTGCAACTTGGAACCCTAGCAAAGGGAAGCTCTGCGCGTGTTAGGGAATCTTTGGTGCAAAGGAGAAGGAAGATTGTGAAGAAGACACCAATTCTCTACTGCCCTGGGTAGAGCCACACGACATAAATCACAAGTAAGAAGAGGATCGCGGTATCGTTTGTGAAATTAGAGCTGTCTGGCGGTGCGAGGGAGGAGGAACTAGATCAAGGAAAGAAGTGTATCTTAGAGTTGTTCTAGATTGAGCAGCGTCCGAAAGCAAAGCGGAGGAAGGAGGAGCTTTTGAGGGAAGGAGGAGCTTCGAGCGTGCGTGAGGTTAAGGCAAGGCAGCTAAAGGTTTTGAATGTAATTAAGATTTTAAATAAATTAATTTAATTGTATTGTTATATGAATACACATATATGTGCATTAAAATGTGTGTTTTTAGTAATAATATTATTTTAAAAATTTATTAAAACCAGGACTAAAAATAGTGGATTCAGATTCGTGGGAAAAATTGGAGTGTACGAGTAAGGAAGAAGGCCAATCTGAAACTCTATAAGGTAAATGTTAATCCTTATATTATTATTGAAATTAATGATATAATGTACTAAAATAATTAATGCTATTTAATTTTATTTAGATTGGGAAGTATGAAAAAAAATCTAATAAATTCTTCGAATTTGAGGAAGGCGAAGAAGTCAAAGGATTTTAAGATTAAAAGAGGTTAGTATTTTTAATCTTAAAATTCTTACATTTTAAATAAGTTAGCCACATTTAAGATTTTATTTAGGATATGATTTCTTGTAATTATATACACATTTACTTATTATAGGTTGTGTCCAAAGAAGTGAAGGGATGCGTATTTTAGAGGTCTTTTGAATACATTTTAA